GAAGTATTGGTTGTTAGGAAGGTATCAGCCGGTGACATTGTAGCCTCGCTACATAGTTATAACAAAAACAATTGTCCTCCATGGGCGCCATTGAATAAATACGTAATTTGAAGAACTCTTTAAAATACGTTATTAAGCAACAACAATTTCCGCCTGCCATGATTGGCGCTTCACCGCACAATCTGCCGCTTGTATTATGTTTTTTTAGCTTTTTCGTTATTATCATCGCCCTCACCTAACTAATATTAACGTTCATGATCTGTTTGTGCGTGTGCGTTCTGAATTACGAACTCTATCAAGAAAATAAATTATTCCTACCGCTACGCCAAACAGACTACGAACGTCTGCCTAAACCCGTCCTACTCATATTCCGTTAGCTGAATTAGCTAGCAGTGTTTTCACTGGTGCGCAAGCTCCTCCACACTATTTTTCTGTCTCAGCCTGCGTTCGTTCTTCTTGGAGAAACCTACTGCTTGCCTAGGGCAGGGTAAAATAACGAAGGACGAGTCGAAGGCTGCTGGGCGAGGGAGACTCGCTTAGTGAGGGAGAACGATTTTCATCTGACCTCGGATTTCCCAATTGCTTTCTCGCCCGAAGATTCGCTTCCATGCCTCGCCTCAGACGACTCTCAACTACTGTAAGGGTGCCGCCGTGACCTGTGTCGCATGCCTGGCCTGCGGCGGCAGTGCACACACAGGCCACAGGCGACCAGACATAACTTCCTTAATAACTGTGAATGTGCGCGTTTCATTATGACCGAGAGATTAATCGAGAATAGCTGCTAAATGGGGCTAGACCACGAAAAAGGACTAGTATTACTGGGTTCAAAAGGGTTTTCAACGTGCATATCTTAAACATCAAGTTTCTACTGCAGTTTGCCTAATGAATTCGTCTATCGGTAGCCATAATTAAAAGCAGAAACTCTGTATTCTAGTATGTATTTATTTGTACGAATATGCAGATCAACCATAATAATGGTTCCGCAAAATTACCAATTATAATTGCAGTTCTTGTAACGTCACGGTTCATCTGGCCGGTTTACTTTAGCCAATCATCCTGGTGGGCAAGTTTTCAGCATAGGCCTTCTTTTTCTTCAAAGCATTCAGTTCCAACGTTTCCTATCCATCAACATAGAGCTACAGGTGGATTGACAGACAGAGAGAAGTTACTCAGACGGAAAACGGTGCCGGCGCCGCCGGCGCGCGTACCGCAGCAAGACCAAGTAGCCCAGCTACGTATCTTCAAAAGCCAGGAGGCGCTGCCGGAGCGGCGGCATCAGAAGGATCAACTGTGTCTGTCCAACTATTTAGACGCAATTTAGAAACAGGCAGCACTTTATGCGCGTATGACGATCTACCGCCGTGCCAGGCAGCAGTGACACATAGAAAAACGTGCACAGCAACTCAATAGGCGAGCTGGCCCGCAGGAGACAGACAAACATATAAACAGGCAAACAATAGCCTACGGACGATCCGTGATGCGTCGGTGTGAACCCAAGCACTCATACAACCGCATATATACATCCAACCCTAACCGCCTTACCCCTCTACCGCGGTTTTCGTCCATTACACAGTAACCAGCTCCATATACCTTCTTCCAGTTCGCTTCAGCTTTTTTCGCCAATGTCGGCTGCTCTACTGGTTCCCTGCTATTTTTGCCTGATTTTCTCCTCATTTTGTTTGCCGTGGCTCCTGTCCTGCTCAGAAGATTGTTGTCATTCTGCGTCGCCGGCAAAATTTCCTTGGCTGGTAGATCTAATTGATGCTGCTGCTGGTAACGACTAATGATGCTGCTCATAATGATTGATATCGGCAGTTCACTGTAGCGTTCCGTTGCAACAGCTCCAGGATCCAATAGACATGTGCGTATGTATTAGGTAATCTAGTGTTAGAAGTACACATACCGACAGCGAACCAGGTTACCGTCTGCCAATACTAGTAGGTGAACGGGCTCAAACGTTCGTATGCACAGGCGGCACGCGACACGGGAAAAGCAGTTTGCCGCACAAGTGTGTGACAATGGTGATGACTGCTCGCACAGCATCGATAACGTGACAGGCAAGTAAACAGTGATTGACTGGTCGCCTAATAGAAAGCCAAGTATAAAATAGGCTAAACTTATGAAAAAAATATGATCAGATTTTACGCACCTGGCGATAGCGGCCTTGGATTGGACCGTAGTGCCTCGTAGGTACGTACCCATCGCGTCGTTCGTATCGGTTTTGCTTAACCTATCAGAAACTTTATGTTGATTTGCTTTTATTGTTCGGGTTATTGTCGTTGTATCATTATAAACGTTGTGAGCTTTTGCGCGTGCGTATTGCACCTTTGTTTTTTTTTGTGTACTATTTCGGTCGCGTTTGTATTCAGCACATTGCTATAATAATAATAATAATAATGCAATTATTATTAAGAGCAGAAGCAGCATGGTGACTTGGCAATTCGGTGTTGTGCCGTTGTCGCTGCTGCAGCTGTCGACCGAGATGTGAGCGTATCGCCGCTACAGACACGAGAGAGTATCTATAATTAGTGATGCGTGTGCCCTAGTGCGGTGGAGTGGCGCGGCAGCCGGCGCTCGGCGGGGTCGTTCTGTTTGTTGGCCGTTTTCGCTTGTTGACTGTTGCCTTTTGCCACTGAAGTCGTTGTCTTTAGTGTGGGTCGACGGTGACGAAGTACACCGTGCCTCCTTGGCCAATGATAGCAATGTAACTAATACGAGTTGGGTGAGATTAATATTCTACTATTAGAACAATGGCCAGTATAGCAATACGCAAACACTATCCCACGCGTCTTCACTGTCGTTCGTTGCCGCGGCCCAATCACATAATATCAAATAATAACACATACACTTAACATTTTAATTAATTAATAAAATATTAACAAACAACAACAGCCAGAAGTTAGCTCCATGTACATTTTAGCCAACGTGACAAAAAGAAGCCACCAGCAGTACGCGGCGCTCTAACTTCATTAGAATGGTGCAAACGTTGGCATCAGTCAACAATAGCAACAATATATATGTTTGAAAAGGTATTGACCTTTTTTCTAGCTCTAGAAGCTTTATTAAAGTCATATATCCTAGGTGATGTGGGTCGAATCGGGTCATTGTTGATGATCCGAGAGTGGCAGAAGAGGTTTGCTAAAACAGATTTATGTTAAAACGCCTCGAACGTTAGTGAAATCTCTGTAAAAATTCGATTATGGTAAAGGTGCAAATTTCACCCAGGCCGACAGGACAATTTCCGCTATTTATGGCCGTGGAAGAGAGGGCTAGAAGGTGGTTTTGTTCTGAAAGAACCGAAGGTTGAGCAAGACCGACTCGTGAATAACCATGATATAGCCTAGGTACTAAACATTGAGGATCAATAGAGTTTAAACCATTCGAAGAGAGGTGACTATTAAAAGACCTTCGAAGTTTGGGTGCTATACAAATTAATGTAAAGGGATCTAGTCGATTGAATTGAAATTTTATAGAAACGTCATGGAAGCAAGCCGTTTCTAAATTGATCAATCACGGGTGATTAAAAGAGAATCACGTGGAACAATAATGTGCAAGTTAGAAACAATTAAAAAAATCACCATTTGTGCTAAATCCTAGATTGATGCCAAACGAGGTGGAACCGTGCATTTCGAGTCGCTGCCTGCCGTAATTATTCATTCAGGCTTTTACCCTCGACTGACAAAATTACAGCAAGCTATTGGAAAAAAAACTGCAAGTAATGAACAGAAAAGGTGTCGTCTTCTATTGTAACATCGCCAATCAATATACGTCGTTAGAAACACGGCAAACATTGAGGGAACTTAGATAAGAAACTTTAATGCGTCCGCTGCAGCGTCCGGATTTTGAGCCATTAATGCATCATCTTTTTCGGTCTCTGCAGAACTTCGCTGGCAGTGTTTTATCTCTATGGGGGGATGAAAAAATCATTTGTCACAATTTTTCGCCCAGGAACCGCAGAAATCCAACAGCGATAAGATTATGGTATTACCAGAAAAATGGCAAACGAAAGATTACGGATCAAAATGGCGCAAATTTAGTTTAGCAATATCATTTTAAAATGCAAAAAAAAAAAGTATTCGTTTCAATTTTGGCTCAAAGGGCCAATAATATATGTACATGGTCATCGCTAATTCCGGTAGCAGCAGCGAGTTAATTCTATAGATCTGGGATCGTGGTACTGCGAGATTGGACGACCTCTGCGGCTGTTGACGACAACACGTTGTCAATGGCTTGCCACCACCACCGCCGCCGCCGCCGCCGCCGCCGCCGCCGCCGCTGCCGTCGTCCACAGAGTAGTCGCTGTTATTTTTTTCGCTGTGGACTGCGTGTGCGTGCGTGGCACAACAAAATACGACGGCGCTACGACACAGGGCAACAACAGCGATGAGAAATAGCTAATAATATGCTAGTGGCGACATTGGTGGAGCTTGAGCTTAAGTAGTAGGCAAACACAAACACGATAACTAGAGAAAGATGGCTAAAGTTGTTGAAGTTGTTGCTATCCACTGTCACCGCGATTCTATTATGTTACAGATTGTGCCGTAGAGTAGGTGATGCTTACACTTAGATATACTGAAAGAATAGCACAGTCGGTCGTTCGTTTCGAAAACAGCTCCCATACAGTAACAAAAGAGCATCAAAAAGCAATATATATACTATATGAGAGTACTAACTGACGTACACACGTGTTATATAGAATGTGTAGAGCTTATATAAGCAGGATAAGGAAATACAGCCAAATATCCCATATGGGCTATTCAACTGTCCTATGCCGTACACCATAATTGCCCAATTCGCAACTTGTTCCCATACATCTTCACAAACTTGTTCACCTGCGTAGCTGGTCACCGCAACTTATATCAAAAGGTCCCGTTGTGGATGAAAACTAAACTGAGTACTACTCGTCTTGAAGTTATTTTTCCCGTCCATAAAGCTTTCTACCAGATTCAATAATGACACATATAACTTCTTTTTAGGCTATCATACTGGATCCCACTTACCACTGTAGGCATCAGCAGAGATCGCTAGAACCGACGGGACGTATCCCGTCGTTTTGTTTCTCGCGGCTGTCGTCTCTACTGCGACGAACACGAACACCAAGCAGTCCCTCTACGATGCCTCTCCTTCAATGGCGCGCATCCTTTACCACAACGTCACCGCAACTTTTATCATTACTCACAATACGAGGAGGGCTGGGCATGGCTGATTTGTTGTAGCACGACACAGACGACAGTGGACGGCATTCGCCAAGGACTTCACAATGAGCAGCAAGCGACGCGCGAGCACACCAACCAGCCGAGCGACTGAGCAAGCGAGCACCGAGCTCAGCAACTGGTCGCAGGCGACTGCGCTCCTCGCCCTGGACTAAGCGCAGCGGCGGGCACCTTCCTACTACCACTCTTCTTCTTCACCCATTCGGCACTTGCTGCTTTTCCGCTGGTTGCCGCCCGCCGCCTCTTGCTTGATACCACCAGCCTCCCCCTTGCTCCTCCACTCTGCCTGCGGCAGTAACCGTCGATCGACTCACTCACTATCGACAGCGGCTGCAACGACAACAGCAGCTGCCTCGGCAGTTATGCTGCCGCCGACAGCGTCAATAGCTGGTCACCGGCAGCGTAGCTGCTATTGCAACTGGTCCGCTGTTGTCTGTGCCATTGCTACTGACCGCAGGCTGGCTAACTGACGGGCTGATTGACTGGTGGCTGACAGAATGGGGCAGTTAACACGCTGGGCTTGGGGACTGGCCGCGGTGTTTCCTGCTTCCAGTGGTACCCGTAGTTCGACGATGAGATGAGTAATGTGGGCCAGACGGGCGCTGATTGAATGAAATGTGAACGCGAGACGAATGGCTGCGTTTGACTGTAGAGCGACGTATCGCCGCCAGCTACAGCGTTCGGTGCTGCTACTGTTGATGCTGGCGCGGTTGACGGCCGCGCAACAACAATCAGCGCGGCAGGTGTTGCCGCAAATATCGTCCGCTGCAGCCGGCTGGAGCTATGGACATCGTCCTCACTTTCACTCTCGTTCCTTTTTCAAATAAACTTTCCCAAGTGGCTTTCTTCTGCTTTCCAACCACTGATTCTGTTCATGTTAATGATAACGATGATGTTCCCGATGTTGTTTTTCATGTCGCTGTTGCTACTGCTAATATATATACTAGTAACCTGAACGTTGCGTCCAATACTTAGGCTGCTAAGCATTACTCCAGACGGCTGGCCTTTCAGAGCGCAAAAGAAACTGCGTCTACGCCCGGTTTTCAACCTAAATTACCACGTGACTACAACAAGCAAATATCTACTGGACTGTCACGGGGACGCAAGTACTAATACTGTTATTTTATATTATTACAGATACTAAAACAACGGTCATTAACAGAAGCAGGAGAAGCTGTTGCTGGCAGACTACCTTCAGAAGTGGTGCCGCTGCTATCTTCGCCGAGTGACAGCAATAAGAAATAGTAAAACAGGAAGCAGCAGGAAGTGCGGCCGCACAGAGTCGTCGGCGTCGTCTGACGTTTGCCTGTTAGCGTAGCAGGAACAGTAGTGACGATAGTAGCTACGAAGCTGTCGTGTGACGGTGTATGCAGTCGCGTAATTTGGCCAGCACCGTCAACAGGCCTCGGCTGTACTAGGTATTGTTGTCGCCGTCGCGTACGGCAGTATGGCGCGGCGACTCGACTTGTACGAGCGGAAATGCGACGGGTAAGAAAACCAGCTCCCTGCTCTCAGTTGCCAATAATGCTACTAATATTATTCGGGTAATAGCTTCATAGATTATTCGTTCGCGGATAGGAGAGCTGTTTCTTGTACAACAGCTGAATCACAAGCCCATCTCAGCGTCTTTATTTTTTGTGGTAAGCTTAACAATCATTAACTGACAATAGTGCTGTTGCCGCCGCAGTCACCGCTCCGGCTCGTGATCGCCGCTTGCCAGGCATTTCTGCTTCTGATTGTCGTCGTCGTCTCATCGTTGCTGTTGTTCCTATGCGGCCACCAGCGATGAACGGACAACCGCTGTGGCTGACCGACAACCGACAAATCTTCCACCAGCCAGGTGCGACTGACGGTGGCAGCAGACACAATCGCTTTGTTTCTTGATGGCGCTTCTTGACAACGTGTCGTTAACCGCTGCTTGCGGCCCGCTATGCAGCATTCGGCGCTCAAGAGCGTTGCCGCAGCAGCAGCAATCGTTGCAGAAAGTCTAACATTGCCGTCGACAATAGCGACAAGTCTCTCTCGCATCAAACCGTGCTGGCGCCACAATCACCTCAGGCGCCCTCGTCCATTAGCGCGGGCGCCGCCACAAGCATTTGTAGCTGCCACTAGCTACAACTGTTCGTTGCCTTTTTGCTTTTCGGCTCTTACAGCCACTGCAACAGTAACAGCAGTAGCAGCAACAATCGCAGGCTCCTTCGTGATGCCGGCGCCGGCATCGATTGCTGAAACCGCTGACTGAACTGTCGAACTGAAAGTAGCCTGACGCGCTGTTCTAGCTACGGCCGTTTCTTTTGCCCGTCTCCGCTTGCTGCGTTCTTACTAGCGCCTATAAGAACAACACAACACAAATACGAACGACAGTGCCATGGCTGTTCTACGCAGCTGCTGACGTCGCCAAGCTTATTGCTGCTGCTGCTACAGCGGCCTCTGCCGCCGTGAGCGTTTTTGCTATAGAAGCACTGTTGTTGAATTAGTACTGGTACTGCCAGTATTCCTACTGTTGATGCCGTAGACACAACAACAACGATGATCGTTGGCAATCGATTGTCCTATTCGTCGTCGAGTTGCAGCGGCTCCGGCAGCGCCAGTAATGTTTCTGCTGGATGACTGGCGCCAACGGCCTCTGCTGACCAACGAAACGGGTGTGCGGAGCGTGTGGCGACGGCGGCGGGCGGACGGGCGGGCGGGCTAGTCTAGTCAAAAAAAGCGCGCGAGCGCGATTCCCAGCAAACAATTCAGTGAGCCATAGACATCGCCACCGCCTCGCCCAGCTGCTGCTCCAATGAAAGAAATAGGAAGAGGGAGAGAAAGCGTGTGAGACCTGCTAGCGGGCCTTTGTTGTGTTTGTCTGCTTGGCACGGGACATACACGAACGTTACGTCGTGGCAGAGGTGGTGGCAGAGGCGTCGGCTGCAGCGCCGAGCAGCAGCTCTCGAAAAAATAAAAAAAGAGGGAGAGAGAGAGAGTAAAATGGGAGAAAGGGAAATTACTCTCTCCCTGTCTGTCTGTCTGTCTGTCTGCCTGTTCGTCTAGTTGACAACACTAGGGTGGTCAAACACATCGCGCACCGTGCCACTATTCATCGACATCCAGCGACAGGGAGATTGAGCGAACCCTCGACGACAATACCGGAACAAGGCAGCATGCGGATGGTGCTGCTTGCGACATCTAGTCGGTGATCAACGAACCGTGATGTAGCGCCGTGGTGAGTCGCAGCGCGACGAATGAGAGTGGGTTACGCGTTGTCAAAGTCTTGCCCCTGCTGCTTAGCACTGTTGCCACAGGCTAGGTTGAAGTTTGACACCGACCCAACGAAACGCCGGGTCAACACTAGATGAACATATATATATGCGCCACGACTAACACGAGCAGAAACGTTGCACGAATGAGAGAGAGAGAGAGAGAGAGAGAGAGAGAGAGAGAGTCGAACGATTTGCGCCGCGGGCGAACGGGCGGGCGGACAGGCGTTCTATCGGGCTGGCGCACAGGCCACCGTTCAGGCGGGATGAACTATTCTTCGATAACTAGAAGCAGTTCGGTGCTGCTGCCACTGCCGCTGCTACCGCCTTTGCTTCGGTGGATCGTCGGCGCCAGGTGGAGCCAGCAACGGTGCCCCTTTGGCCACGCAGTGGCTGCAAAGGTGAGAGTAGAGGAAAGGGTCATGGCAGCCGCAGCACCAAACAGCAGCGGATTGCGCTGAGAAAAAGGGACTCCATTATTACCATTACCATGACCGCTATCGCTAGAAGCTGCGGAAAAAGTGTTTGTCACAGCATTGACAAAGGCAAACAGTCAGACAGATTCCAACTGCTGCTATCACCCCTCTTGCCCCGTTATTGCTCCTGCTTTTAGTACCAACTGCCTGGCTCACTCCGTAGCCATGCTGGCCAGAGCGAATCAAAGGAAAGCAGGACAGAGAAAATAGGACAGCTGAGACACACCGGTAGTGCCGCCACCAATAATGGCAGCACCATATCCATGGGGTTTGGGGAAGATTTATCTAGCAGATTTAGGAAGGATTGGACCGACTTGGTGGTAGAGAGGGCTTGTTGGTGACGACAAAGAGGGTTTAAGTTACGAGGAAAAAGGGAAAACAGCCTGATCGAGTCTATCTAGCAGATGATGTCAATTTGGTGGAACGAGGGCGACGGAATCGCTGGTATGTATGCGAGATAGAAAAGGCATGGGGTGTTTCAGAACCGCGCACTGGCGGAACGCCATGCTTGTTTACATTGCTTTGTATCAAATATTATTTAGGCAAAAAACCTCACCAGTAGGGAAATAGGCGAAAACTTAGCTGTGAAAAGCTTGAATTGAGCCGCACGGCTTGAATAAAGGTTCCAGAGAATTGACTTTCAGTATTTGGGGACGAACAAATCAATTCAATCACGGCAAGGCGTTGGTCTCCTCCTTCAAATCCGCTAGCCTGACCTCACTTCAGCGAGACGCAATTAGACACTCTACACAGCCATTATCCGGCGAAAAACCCGTCACTGATAATATCTATAATTTTTTTGGATATATTCTTGTAAACATGTCAGTGTTACCTCAAACTGCACCAGTTAGTGAAACGAAGTAGCCTTCATAGTAACAAACCTACCGGTCAGTCAATTCTGAAAATTGGGTGGTAATTAATACGTAACATTACCTAATCATTCGAGCCACTGTGAGCCATTACAAATGAACCCAAGTATGAGCAATCTCGAAGACAATCGTAGTAACATACCCCGGAGCTGGATTACAATGAATGCATTGTTCGGGTCACATCATGAGAGACCGGTAGAAGCTTCAACATCCTCACTAAAATAAGGCAATGAATTTAACGCTTATCCACCAATCTCAGTAACGTATTGGCTAATACTAATATACGGATACTTTTATTTAACATTAACATGGTGTTCTCATATAGCTATCGTATCTACAGATAACCCAGGTAACCTACCGTAAAACCTGAACTTGAGTTCGATTATGAATTAATAGACCTTAGAGTTATACTATCCTAAAAAATTTCTCAGCAGCTGCATGTCGATTGCGTATGACTTTCTGAAAACGAAGGAGCCCGTTGCCACCGCAGCAAACTGGTGCGGATCAAGCAAACTCTACATTTTGCGCCACTTGTAGCTGCGTCATTGGATTGACTGCTATTTAGGTTGTTATTGCACAGATCAATTATGCTTCATCGTTTCAACGAAAAAGTTCTCCATTAGGC